CATCATGATCATGGTGTATGTTAAAATATACCTGATTGCCAAGAAAAGAACCAGAGCCCCGCCAGGTGAAAGGAAGAGAGGATTCGGAAACACAGAAGACGCAAAGTGTGGTTTGGAGAGAAAAGACGGAGAAGAGAGGGAGGAGGAAGAGGGGGACGGAGGAGCAGAGATCAACGGGCTCGATCTGGAGGAGGAACCATCCTCGTCTGATGGGAATGACACCGTCCTATGTTACCTGAAGAAGGGGAGTTGTGTGAGAACAGCCAAAGGGGCTCAGGTGAAGCCGGGGGAAACCTCTCTGAAGCCAGAGGCGCAGCCCTGCGTGGGTCCGAGCAAGTGGAAAGGGAGGCAGTACAGAGAGAGGCGCTTCACATTTGTTCTGGCTGTGGTCATGGGAGTGTTTGTTCTTTGCTGGTTCCCCTTTTTCTTCACCTACTCGCTCACAGCTGTGTGTGACGCCTGCTGTGTCCCAGAAACACTGTTCAAAATGTTCTTCTGGTTCGGTTACTGCAACAGCTCACTAAACCCTGTTATTTACACCATATTCAATAATGACTTTAGGAGCTCTTTTAAAAAGATCCTGTGTAAAAGGAACAGAGTACGTTTATAAATAGGATTTGTATGTATTTTAAAATACAGCATGTTTGGTCATCTGTACCTAAGCTCAGATAAGTGTACATTTTACAGATATTTATGGAATATACGAAAAATGTGAAAAGAAGCATGTTTTGCCATTATGTTTTAACATGTTGTGTATTACCACATCAGTAAATATCTGTAATATTAAAATCATGCCAGATATCTTATGTGAAGTGTATCACAGCTAGTATTATAATACGACAACTTTTGAGTTTACATTGTACAATTGTGACAACATGGATGATACATTTTCTACATGCATTTGTACATTTGTAACAGTATTCAGTCGACCTTTAGATCTTTTTCATGTTTTGGGTCTTAACGCTTTAAACTCTTAATGCTTTCAAGACGGACTGACAGTGTGAGTTAGAAAAGAGAAAGATTCAGAAAAATGGTGATAGACAAAAACATCCACTATAATGGCACTAGTTTGTAAACAAGCATGGCCAATAATTCCATTATGACAGATAACTTAATCAGCAATTACTCTGCCGGAGAAATGTTGAGAAACTATGCATGCTTTTTGGACCGTTTTCCTCTCTGTGAATTACCATCATAATGAAATAAAAAGCATACAGGAAAGTGCACAATTGTAAATGCTGCAGGATTGCAAATGAAAAAAAAAATCATCTTTGCATAACAGTACAAACTTTAGCAGAAGCAAATAAAAGCATATTGTACCATAACATATATTATTCCTATCCGTCTAACCATCTCCTTCACTCCTAACAAGCACATGAACATGACAATTATATGAAAATAAATTACGCCTCGGAGGTACGGCACGACAATATTGAATGGAGTCTGTCTTGAATTATAGCGCTTCATATCAGGATATCATTAAATCTTCCCCTGGAGTCAAACACAAAGCGTGCAGTGATAGAAATATGAGTGGCTGCTGCAAATTACACTGCAAGGTTAATATCCACACTAGGTGTTCAACATGTGGTCTCTTCTCCTTTTGTAGCACACTGTTAACAGCAGATCTTTATATCCACTTTACTTTAACAAATAGACATTTCGACCATTATCAGTCTGTGAACCTGGAAAAAGTCAAAGCACTATCCATTCCTTCAACTTACTGTACCACATGTTTACAGGCTGGACTTCTCACATACAGTAAGTAACATTGAGTGATTCCCATGACTTTTGGGACTCTGGTATTTTGAGTTTCCTGTGGTACACATGTTTGGATTCGAAACATGTCTCAGAGTCTTAAAATACAACATCCTTTCTCACCACAAATGGTAAACCATAGATTCAACAGTTTTGCTAATAGAGTTCCCACGAACAATTTGACACGAGAAATATTAGAAAGCAGTGGTATTTGTGGCTTTGTGGCAATGAGAATCCATGCAAGATAAATCTATTCCCGGGTGGTTGTAAAATCATCGCAGCACTTTGTTAGGATTCTGACAGATAGTATCAATATGTGTAAAACTGTACAGGAACAGCCCTGCCATTGCAGCACTTATGAGGACTGCAAATAAACAAAAGTTCTAGCTTTATACTAAAGCTTATCAATCAACATGATGTAACATTTAGTACCATAAAACATTAGCCAGACAAAAATCCTTCAGATATTTCTCCTTGACATCAATATGTCCTGAAAGATTAAAGTGCATGCATTACTATCTGAATGCATTCTTTTATTAGAATGACAACTATAATGGAGTCGGCCTTCTTGAGCGGCACGATGCATACATTACATTTGTAAAGCACTCTAAGCAACAGAGATTAAATACCAAAACACTAATGACATTACATTCCTAAAAATAATAATGAATACAATCCTAAAGAGTTGACTTGGCCATCATTGTAATTAAGTTTGTCAAATCCAAACCACAGAAACATTCATGACATATTGAATGAATCACGTTACTAAAGGTTTTCCAAATTGTCTGTGAACTTTAGGCTAGTTTTCAATCTTCTATGCCTAACTGCAGCTCCCTATAAATTATGGCTTGTTACAAAATGTAAGCAGTTGGTTTATTATTGCTATTCTCCGTGTATGACACACACACACACACACACATATACTTTCGCCGCCTGCCGAGACAATGATTTATTCCCCCCTCTAAAGGCCACTTCAGAGCATCACGATTTATGATTGTGACACTAAGCTAATAAAACTATGCTTTATAAGCTCTCTCTCTCTGGCAGGCGTTCCCACAACACAGCGCCTCAGTCAGACTTCTCCATTTCCTTCTTATTTCTCTCACCTATAGTTCAATAAGAGCTCTTTAAAGCAGCGAGTCACGCATCTCAGGTGAACTCAAAGGCAATTAAAGACCAAAGAGAAAACACATTGCAGACAATGAGATTGCCAAGGCAGGATTGCACAGACAGAGACCTCAGTAACAAGTTTAAAATCATAGCTAGTGATGAATAGAGTGTTTTTAATTGAATGTTGGGTAATTCATTATGAATTGAGCACAATGCATCAGGCACACTGGGGCATGCAATGCTTCCCCCCTCTTGAATTGATAAGGATGTGAGATAATCAAATAACATTGTGAGTGATGGGAGCAGCAGGAAGCTCCTGTTTAATTTGCCTCGTGCAATCTCTGTTACTTTCCATACTCCCTCTGCTCCCTATTGCATCTGCAAACCACATTTTACTGAATAAAAAGTCGTATTCTATCCCCAATGTGTTTACTGGATAATATTGCAACATTTCTAGCAGTCTAAATATGCAGAATATGACCAACTTTCAGTAAGAAAACATTTTATTTTTCCAGTACTATGACAGTATTTTTCCGAATGACTTGCTGGGCCATTTTCAGCCTTCCATTAGAGGCCATTTTATAGCTCTAGTCCTTGAGAAAGGCATTATTGTTATTATTATTTAGGATTAAAAAAGGTCAACTAGTAGGTTATTATATTTTCTTAGCTCATCTAAAAAGCAAAACATGCTCGCCCGGAAGGGGCTCAAGAAGCCCCCAGGGGACTGAGGACATACTGGGAGTTAGGCGAGCTAAAGCGCATGGATAATGTGGAATTTACTAAAAATACCATCAGTTGGAAGTTCATTCTTTGGGACAGCAAATACAGTCTTTACTCATTCATGCTTTCATTTAAATCATATCTGACCTCCTCCTTTTTCCAACATTTGAAAAATAATCTCTGACATTTTATTTTTACAAAAGAACAAAAGCTGTTTTACAGAATATTTTAAACTTCTTTACCTACCCTAAATGCCTAGGGTATGCGTGTGTGACAGAGAGAGAAAGAGAGGGGCAAAGGGTAAGGGCTAAACTGTTATGTGAATAGTCACAAAATAAGGGTCTTACTCATCTTTCTTGAGTTCATCTGTCCCGGTCCATTTCAATTTAATAAAAACTATAATGAGTTTTAAAACATTGATTTTCCATGCTTATTACCATCAGAAGTAGAGATAATCTCCACTCTGTGAAACTGGAAGCACCGTCTACAGCAATGCGTTCTTTGCCCTGCAGTGAATCCTCGCTGATACTAAATTAAGCTCTGGCAAATCTCCTGCTCCGGACACCATAATTCTTCCTCAGACATCTTGTCCTGTCTCTGCTATCGATCGTAACCATTTCCAGTCTGGCCTACTCTCCTTCTCAGTCTCAAGCTTCTGCACAACACCCCCGCCCCACCCACATGCTACTGGATGATGTCAGGACACACACAAAGTAAACACAACTGTTAAAGCTTACTATGAGTTTGCTTCATCTCACCAGCTAGGGGTTATTATGTATATAAAATGATCCCTCGGTGTGCTGTCAGGTAACACACACCTTCACATCGATAAAGAGCAAGCTGTCCCACACTATCATCTGGGACTTCTCTATATCCCTGTATTCCTTTTCAAATATGTCATATACTACGAGGGTGTCAACATTGACAGTTTTACTTCTATCAGGTTACTTTGAGCAGGATCTCAGGCAACAAAGCAAACATGCTGATTATACTGATTGATGAATCAGACATTAAAACGTGACATGAATACTTGCTAATGAAAATCCAAAGCCAAAATGATTCAATTATGTGTGCCTCGATTTTTTTGATTCATCAAAAATGTATAAGGCAAACTTGGCAAGAGTTAAATGCTCCTTGACTTCGCATTTATTTTTACATTTTATTCTATTTCATTTTAAAATATGTTGGTAATGTTTCACCTTTAGCACAGCTGGGAACACTTTATCTGTGCTCCAGTATTTAATTGTTATTTATAATAAAAGTCTAAGTTTTGGAGTTGATTGTATAAAAAGGCCTTGCTTTGGCACAGTAGCCTGTCATGAAACAACAATTATGAATAGAAGTGGTTTCAGTAAAAAGTAAAGTATACCTTCTATGATTACTAATACACTGCCATAGTTCAGTGATGGCTTTGATCTATGGATCGAGAAGAGTGTGTTGTGGTACTTACTTCTACTGGGCAGCAGATGGAGCCTTGTGGGGTTATTTTGCAGGTGATTTGTTGACAGGTTTCCTCAAGTGCTCAGAAAGTTCAGTGAAGATCCATTTTGAAAAGGTAAATCATAATTTTAAAATGTATTGATTGTGTAACGTCAGTTAGTTTCAGATGTTGGCAGTGGTGCAAAGTAACCAAGTACATTTACTGAAGTAATGCTCTTTACTTAGTATTTCAAATGTTTGCTACTTGTACTTTAACTTCTACCCCATTACACTTCAGAGGTAAATCATGTACTTTTACTTCACTACATGTATTTAATATCTCTAATTAGTAAGTATGTTCAACACTTAAATGAGACTTGAGTTACACCTTGAGTACCATTCACAAGCTACCCTGCAGTATACAATATAATTATAACTAGCTTTATTATATTATTATAATTATATTATTATATTATATTTATTATATTATTATATTTATTATTAGCTTTATTATAACTAGCTTATTAACCAGCTTTGATAAACACTTTAATGAATCAATAATAATAATCAAAACCGATAATATATACTTTTGCACTTTACTTGAGTAACATTTTGAAAGCAGGACTTTTACTTGTAACAGAGTATTCCTACACTCCTGTACTTTTACTTTTCCTATGTACAAGATCTCAGCACTTCTGGCTGTAGCTAGCCCCTATGTGCCTCTCTCGAAGCTAACTCACCTAACGTCAGCTGACATTAGCTAATTATTAATTTAACACTTGTGACGTTTGGATTGATTGATTAATTAATAGCAACACAGTGATAACATTTGTTTAAGCAATTTGAAACAAATGCAATTGGTTAAGAACCACTTACATGTATTTTGAGCATATGTTCGGGTTCCTCAAAGAGAAGTTATATCCATTCCATTAAAACACAAATATTAAGTAGCTAGCTTCGCGTGGCTACTAGCATTGACTGCTAATGGTCGCTAGCTAGTTCATTTTAAAGTCATGGCAACCGGAAGTCACACAACTTCTTCTTCGATATAAAAAATTAGGGAAGAAATCGAATCTTCTTACTCGATTTGTAATAGGCTACTACCGTACTACTCGAGTACAACACAGTTAAAGAAGTACAGGGTTTGAAAACATAAAATACGTGTAAACAACATTAATAAAGAAATGTGCTCATGGAAGTGGAACAAGATTTAGCTAATGTGTTTTTGCTTAAACGTGCAACTTAAATATAGATAGCGATTGTTTAAAAAGCTTCTTTATTCTGTTTAAAAGTGCTCCACTTGGATACAGGAGTCGTTAAAGCATCTGGAAATGCTATTAAAACAGAGGTAAGTGTTTTCCGACCAAATATTTACTTACTTTATCATCCAAAAAACACTTAAGCTAGCTTGTGACTCAAGTGTAACTTTTGCTGTATCAATGCTTGATAATGGTCGCAAAAGCACTGCTTACTTACTTGATTTACACTAAACTAACATTTATAAAACGTATCTAATGTAATTATGTATGTAATGTATTTTAACTAATTAGTACCTCTTTTATGAATTGTCTTTTTTTTTTTTTATTATGTGTTATTGTACCTTGAATTCTCTTTGTGTCTGAAATGTGCTCTAAACAAACTAACCTTATTATCATACTCTTTTTTATTATCATACTCTTTTTGCAACCCATTGTTCTTATACATGGCAGTGCTATATAAATAAACTTGCCTTGCCTTATACAGCTCACGGTCCAACACACAGTTTGCATCAGGTGTTGGAGGGAATTTCTGGGGAAAGGATATGTGGTTGCTCTGCTTGACGGTATACCTACAATAAACCGTACACCTTGTGGGTAAGTCTCAAATAAGCCTATTACTTGGCCTGGTAAATATGTACTCAATACAAACTTAATGACATTATGTGGGCAGAAAGGTTTGGGCATTGTTAACAATGCACAATTGTTAACCTCTTGGTCCTGACAATGGCAATATTGCTTACATGTTTTTCACAATATGTGGATGATTAAAAAGTGAGAGGATGGTGGTGTGTTCCTTGCTATGTGGCAGCTGAGACATACCTCTTATAATGGTAGATTCGGCTCTAGAACAAATCGAATGGGGGGGCAATCATTTACAAAGGGGGGGCACACACTGCCGTCAACAACCAACACACAAACACCAACGCAACTTCAAAAAACATACTGTAAAGTCTATTGTCTTTCACACACATTGCAGGGTGTAGTGCTATAGCGCACAACCACCAAAACATATGGACATAGGCCACCATACAAAAAGTGTGCAAATGTATTTAGTATCCTTCCTATCCATGTGAACATGTTTTAGGTGGGGGTGGACCTAACCTCCTCTAGGAGGGTCTGGGGGCATGCTCTCCCGGGAAGATTATTTTAAAAATATTGAAGTTAATCAATCTGGTGCACTTTGAAAGCAAAATTAAGAGATCTATGGATAGTATACATCTCTCAGCATCCATATGAAACAGAACTGTACACAGATTTACTTTTTCTTTATGGAAATTGTAGTAATCACTCCCCTTTTAAACTGTATTCTTGTGTTACTGTCCTATAATATTTCATACCCGTTTTTTATTTATTCTCTTATTCTTTAATAACTATAATGATCATATAAAGGTATTCCTCGCAAATACTGGTTTACATAAATGGTGACCAAACCGTTTGAGACCCAATAAGATAACCTACACTAAAGTTAACTATCTAAAACACTGAGAGAGTCCTTACCTCACTGAGCTGACGTTATAAGCAGGGGTGCACATAACTTTTTTGCCCTGGTTCTCAAAGGAGCACCTGGAGATGTTGCTTGGTGCTCATCCTTAAAATGAAATAAACCGTAACTTTTGAGGGGGTCTTGACTTTATTTGCCAGACACACGGCACTGAACACACATGCAGAGGTGAACACAGAACACACATGCAGTGGTGAACACAGAACACACATGCAGAGGTGAACACAGAACACACATGCAGTGGTGAACACAAGACAACATTAGCACGACCAGTAATCCTACAAGCTGTCATCACTGTTCTCCTCACTGTCAGACATGCTAGCTGATGATGTAGGCCTACTACTTTCTCTCTGGTTGAGTCTGCGATTAGCTGCTTGCATCCACAAGTCAACAGTTGGTTTTGGGTCGAAAGTCTCTGTTGTCATCTTAGACAAGTGGATGTAATCAAATAAGTATGTGAACATAACCAATAACCTATAGCCAATAACAAATGAATGTAACTTATTTTATTTGTGTTGTTCATTCATATCTTATTTTACCTTAACATTTATTTATTTATGCATTTTTTTTTTATCTCTCCAGTTTTAAAGGATATTTTTGGTTACTGTCTTATACATTGGAATGATTTGAAACCTGTTTATCCCAATAATTATAAAGGAGTGCCTTGGAAATATGTGTTTACATAAATTGTGACCAAACCGTTTGAACTTAGACTAAGATTCCTTACCTCACTGAGCTGTAGTATCAGCCTCTCAGTCTGACTGGAGAGGACTCTCCCTCCACATTATTGTAGAAACATCTTCTTCTTATATCCGTTAGAGCAGCTAGCACGGCACCAGATTCTAATAACAACAGCGCTGGTACCGGTGCACCCTCCCTCTCTCCCTCGCATTTTGACTGTGAGCTGCGGGCGTCAGATAAGCCAACATCCCCCATTTTCATCACTTACAGCGCCCATCGTACAGGGCAATTGAAACGTGTAACCGGGGTGAAAAGGGTGTTACATTTACTTAATTGTGAATATTGTTACATCAAGGCCGAAAATTAGGATGAGCCCCAACGGTCAAAATGTTTTTTTCCCTCCCAGAACTGCCAGCGCAGCGACTCCCCAGATCTGGCGCCCTAGGCGAACATCTAGCCAGGGCTACGGGCCGGCCCTGAGTTCATATCATGGTTTATATGCAACTCGCAAATATCTTTCTTTCTCTCTCTCTCTTCTCTCTCTCTCTCCTCTATTTTCTATTTTCTCTTCTCCCTTCTCTCTCTCCCTCTCTCAATGTTGGTACGCAAATGCGCTTTGTTTCAAATGACCCGGTGCTCTATTTTTGGCGGAGGTGCGCATGCGCACCTGCGCACCAGTTATGTGCAGCCCTGGTTATAAGATCCTCTCAGTCTGACAGGAGAGGACTCTCCTCCTCCACCTTGGTGTAGAAACAGCTCTTTAAATCCGTTAGCATAGCTAGCTAACCAGATGCTAACAACAACGTTCCACGTTACCGCTCGCGCACTCACAAAATGCGCTCGTGCCACACACACACAGAGCCGAGCTTGAATGAAACACAGAGACCCAGAAGTAGGCTACTTGTACTGTACTGTATATCATATTATTTTCGATGGCTTTATTGTATAATCAGTGTAACAGATGAACAGATCGCCACTGGGCTTTCATCTAAACACACAGCCACGTAATGATAACAAAACAAAGGTCGGGGGTCATTGGTCAAGCAACACACCAATCAGAGAGCAGCAGTGAGCACAGCTCAGGCTGTGTTTTATATTTGTATTCTTTATTTCTGACGTATTTCACACAAAAAACCTTTAGTGGAAACGTTTTTACTTATATGATTTTTTTTTTTTAAACTGTAAAGTGGCAAGGCTTGCCCACCCTGCGTTGGGGGGGGCACAGTGACTCATTTGGGGGGGCATGGCACGCGAATGACCCCCCATGACGCCGACCCTTTGTGATTGATGTCATATATCCAAGTTTACATTTTTGGTTCAATTTAATGGCTAAACGATTGGACTTATTTCTTGACCCTTCGGGCTGTATTGTATTTGTTGTGACCATAAATATTGCATGTTATGTCAACTTCTTGACTTGACTGGACGCTGTTTCCATGTTTGAGCTGCTTTGAGTTTATTCTTCTAAAACTCTACAGACCTTGTTGAAGTGGCAAGTGCTCATTGCTCATGTGATCCCCCAAATGCGGCCACTTTGTTTGTTATTTAATACCAGTACTATGAATATAGCTTTTAGTTAAAGCTATGTGAAACAGCTCACTGTAATATAATAATATTACTTGTGATATGGTGATTTATTTTTGTTTCCATAAAAGTTGTAATTGAGCACAAGGTACATTAATTGAATTGACATCAGTTAAGTTTTCTCATATTGTGTGTACAACACTGAACAGTTCTCAATATAATAGACAAAAGAAGCTTGGCTATCAGAATGATATAGGCTTTGTTTTAAGAATGTAGAAAAACATATGATTTCTGATTGGCAATTTGAGATGTAACTACTATTTTGGCAGACCCCCAGTAATTGGAGTTATATCTCTCACAGGCTCCGCCCTCTACTGGACTCTATGGGTAATACCTTACCCTGCGAGCATTCTCCAACTGAGACTTATATAGACTATGGTACTGACACCGGCTACCGGTGTCAGTACCATATCTGCTCGGGGTACTATGGGCCCTTCTCACTTCTCTTATTTTTCATTTCCTCGCTCCTCGGTCTCGGTCTCACCGGAAGTTGATTTGTCTGCGCCATCTTGAGTAGCGTCCCAATGGCCTTATTTTTGCCGGAGGACCGAGGAGCGAGGAGCGATAATGGAGGAGCTATAACCGAAGAACCACCAGACCATCCTTCGATGAAATCCTCAGACACTCGCCCCGCCCCCTTACTGTGTATTGCTCACTGATTGGACGATGCAGTGCATGCACTGATCTGATGAGCAGAGGGAGGTGAGTTGCGGTGAGTTGCCGTACAATATAACGGATATGACGGATGACGGATGCGACGGAAATACACCCGAGCAGATATGGTACCCCGAGCAGATATGGTACCCCGAGCAGATATGGGGTCCTTCTCACTTCGGTTAAATGGATTCCTTGCGTCTCTCACTTGCGTCGTTTCCCTGTGACTAGTCCCTCCTACCAGGGAAGCATGGAGAGACGCAAGGAAACCACGAGAAGCAGGGAAATGAGTTTTAAGAGCAATGGGACGTACTTTCCTCCGGAGAGTCACGTGAAGCGACGTCCGTTTGTGATGACGCTGCACAGCTGATCGTCTGACAGCAGGCTTGTTTGAGACAAGCGAGACCTGCGCAGACCTGCGCAGTTGCGATCAACGTCTTGCTAGTGCGTTGCATGATGGTTAGTCATTTTGTCCGACTTGCTCTGGAGGGCCGGCCTACATGAGACGTTGAAATCTCGCGGGACAAAGACGCCCGCAGCCTTGAGAGCGAGGCGGCGCAGTTCCTCTCCACGGGCTGCGGAAGCGAAATGCTTGAAGGGAAACGACTCGCTGGTATCTCGAGCTGAGCGCTCATTGGTGGTTTTTACCACGTGCTGCTGATGAAACTCTCCAATTGGCTCGGCAAAAGTTTGTTGTTGTTTTGTGTCAGTTTTACGTCGCCACATCCATTCCCATTTTGCATCATTGTTCCACAATGTTTATCATAATGAAATTAATATCCATATATTTTATACTATACTTGCACTGCTTACCGTTTTCATACTTTATATATCTTAGCATATTTATACACACTGTTCATACTGCTCACAGGCTGATATCTAGTGTATTCATACCCCTCACTGTTTATTCATCATTCAATTCATTCTATATTTTATTCTGTCTATTGTGTACATTACTTTTCACTGTACTGCTTGTTGCACTCCTGGTTAGAAGCTAAACTGCATTTCGTTGTCTCAGTACCTGTAATATGTGCAATAACAATAAAGTTGAATCTAATCTTGAGCAGGAACAAATGTATTTACTTAGTACATATCTGACATTAACGATTAAACACATGTGTGCATTCTTTATAAATGCAAACCGAGTCAAGCCGACTCCGGAGGTGGCGGTAT